GCTTAGGGTTTAGGGTTTAGGGTTTAGGGCTTCCGGTAAGATTTCCTACAAGGGGGTCTAAGGTTCGAAGGCTCCAGCTTTTAAGGATCGTGAAGCTACGTGAGTTGAGGATTGAAGCAAGTAGGGTGCACAGGGCAAGGCTGCACTGCAACGAGTGCTGGAATCGCATATAGGGGCTTCTGAAGCCAAAGGCCCTAGATTATGTAGGGCTTACGGACACCCTCAGTGCTGAATTTCGAATACTCCAAGGGACACATGCGCTGGAAGAAGACCTCGACGGACAAGTCGGCTCTGTCGCACTGACTAAACCTCGGTAGGATTATGCCGTTGTTGCCAGAGTTACTAGACTAAAACCCAAAAGCCCTAAGCAATAAACCCTAGAACCCTAAACCCCCAGCCATTGCCAGCAGTTGCCACCGCTCAGGCCTCTGAATGCCCTGTCCGCACCAATGTTGCCATGCTGGTCGTCGTCGCATAGAGGCAGTAGCAGTAGACTCAGTAGACTCTGAGAAGTAGCAGTAAGACCAGGAGCAGGAGTAGTAGGAGTCGTAGGAGTAGAAGTAGTCGTCGTCGTAGTAAAAAGAAGAAGACCTGATAATAATCACAAGAATCCAGCTCTCAGTGCACGGCTGGATACTGAGCGCCATGAGCTCTGATGCATCTCGGATGCTGTCAACATCCATCTCCTGGCCGGATACGGTTCCTAGGGTTTTACTAGTTTTACAACTTCTTTATACGGTTCTATAGGGGAGATATCGGATTCTAGGGTTTAGGATGGGTTCCATCGGTTTCCATAAGGCCTTCAGGGTTTATACGAGTTGTACAGGGTTCCAGCACCGCTTTATCAGGGGTGTTGTATGGTGTTCCGTAGATGGCTTCGTACAGTCGCGACCTGTGGCTTTGGCGTCATTTCGCCGCGTTCGGCTTAGCTGTCACTGCTTCGTGTTCAGGAGTGAGTCTTTGTGATTTAGGGGTGAGGGTTTAGGGCCATACGGGCAGTGGGCGGACTGCTGGCGGATTCGTCTAGGCCTGAATCATTACCACAAGTTCTTCCCTAAACCCTAAACCCTAAACCCTAAACCCTGAATCCCTAAACCCTAAACCCTGAATCCTATACATGGGGTACATGTACAAGAACCATGAAGCTTCGGCTCCTGTGTTGGCCCTCCAGCCGCTAATTTCCCGCATATGCTTTGACACATTCCTGTTACACCCTAAACCCTAAACCCTAAACCCTAAACCCTAAACCCTAAACCCTAAACCCTAAACCCTAAACCCTAAACCCTAAACCCTAAACCCTAACCCATGGTCTCTTGCCTCCGACCCCGGGTGCGCAACCTGAAACCCTAAGGTTCCTAAGCCTTGGTATCGGGGCCTGAAAAATTACCTGGGTAGTTGTCAAGATTATGGTCCCTTTTGTGGTACCCTAAATAATAGGTGCCGTATTATAATAAGGACCCCAAAAAGGGACCATAATTGTGACAACCACCCACATGTTGCTAATGTCCCTCTTCTGCAAGTGCAGTGTCACAGGCAGTCCCCTACTGAAAAAAGCATCACATCGACCTGCGGAAAGCTCCACACAGTCTGCACACACTAAAGTCTCCGTATGCGTTGGCACAGGGCTAGCTGCAGACAGACGCACGCAATCAGTGAGTGAGGCATGGTCCTTCGCCCCCTCATGGTACCAAGCGAAGTGATACTTCCTGTGCAGCGGTTTCGGGCTTACCGAAGCCTTAACTTAGGAAAGAAACCCGAAAGCTAGGTGTAGGATAGGAGCCATACCAAAAACCCCAAGAAAGCATCTTTGAGCTCCCAAATCCTGGCTGCAACTCAAAGGTGCACTCAACCTAAAGATCCCTTGCAGGAATCCTTGAAGGAACCCCAAACCACGCAAGCCCTGAACCAAGCCCAAAACCCTACCCCGAACCCCTAAAACCCAAACCCCAAAACCTAAACCATAAACCCTAAACCCTAAACCCTAAACCCTAAACCCTAAACCCTAAACCCTAAACCCTAAACCCTAAACCCTAAACCCCTAAACCTAAACCCCTAATCCCCAAACCCTTGAAACCTTCACCCCAAACCCCTCCCTTTTTCCAGGCCAAGCTTCCCCATGGCCACGGCTAGTGCCAAAGCTGGGGAAGCCATGGCCTACGAGGGGTCCATTTTGTTCAGGGGTTTTGTGTTTAGGGTTTGGGGGCTTAGGGTTTATCTCAACCATCCTGTCAGGGCCTGACACAGAGGTCTGAATAAAGAGCATATTGTATCGTATCCCTTTTCGTCGCGTGCGCTGTGCTGATACAATAAATCTCGAAACTCTACTCGACCCTAAACCCTAAACCCCAAAAAAACTAAACCCCTAAACCCCTAAACCGATAAACCCCTAAACCGATAAACCCTGTCAGACTCCCTTTGAGCATTCGAGCCTTCTGCTGGAACTCTGCCAGCTCCGCAGTCATCGCAGGAGCCAGGCGGTGTTGCTGATGCTGGGCTGTATAATCCTCTCCGCTTTCAGTGGCGCATTTAGTCAAATTTGGGGTCCAGAATTTCGGATTTTAGGACTTTGTGCGGGAGTCTGGAGATGTAGAGATGAAGAGCTTGGGCTTGCCGTTTAGGGTCAGGGCCTTGAGGGTCGAAGGCTTAGCTTTTGGGGTTTGCTGTCCAAGCTGCGGTGAAGTAAGCCTGCCTCAACAGCTCGTACAGCCTTTGCTGGTTGCTGAAGTCGTCTGTGTCCTCAGGAGCTCAAGAGCTCTACATGTGTAGGCTCTGCTAGGGTTCGAGCTTTGGAGTTCCCAAACCCTAAACCCTCAATCCTAAACCTAAACGGTTTGAGGGGTTCAAACGTGGGGCTGTTTCGGGTTTGGGGATTTGGGTTCAGGGCGAGCTTCACCGGACCTCGGCGTGAGGTGTGAATTGCAGAGTGGAGTGCTCTTGGTGCTGAGGAATTCTTCAAGGTGTTGGGGGAATTCAGCCTCCGCCCATGAAGAAAGCTTTACTTCTTCTTACAAGCGTTATTATCACTGCTGAATGACCCGTCCTCAGATTCTACTCTATTCCTATGGGTACTGATGACTATTGCTATGATTCTCATGGTCACCGCGAATTTCGAACATGATTACTGCCCTTGTCGTCATCAATGTTGCTTGCGAGCTTTCATGAGCTCAAGTCCTGGCCCTTGGCATGTGGGAGTTTTACAGTGGGGAAGCCAATTTAGGTTTAGGGTGGGTTTAGGGTTTAGGGCCCTAAACCCTAAACCCTAACCCCTAAACCCTAGACTCGAATGAGTAGGATCCTCATTGTCAGTACAAGCCCGCAATCCCAAAACCGAGGCACCTCCTTGAGGTTCACGCTTGCTGATGTCTTAGGGCTTAGGGCTTCGACAGATCTGTGTGCTCAAAATTTGGGGCTGTGGGATCAATATCATAAGAACCTGACTATTCATAGGTTCTCTTCTCAAAAACCCTAAACCCTAAACCCTAATTAAACCGTATCTAAACCCTACACCCTAAGCTTCCTAAACTGCACGCTAAACCCTTTAAGCCCTGAACCGGATCACTCCATCTTCCCTCCTGGTCTCCAGGCTTCATATATACGTTCCAAAATGAACACTTGAGCCGCACATCCCAAGAAGCTGCCCCCTCGATCCTACACCAGTAATGTAGGGGACGTAATAGTTAGAATGGGATCTCCCAAAATGGTAATATGTACTTGCTAAGGCCCCTAAAGTAGTTAAGCCCTAAACCCTAGCCCCTACCCTCATCCCGAAACACGTTGCGCCCTAAACCGTGGTTCCACTGAGCCCAGGGGACAGCAGACTGATGCCAGGCTTCCGACATGTACATCGGCTGCGGGCCCCATGTGACCTGACCCTGTGCGACCGCAAAGCAAAGCACAAAGCCGAAGATCGCCATGGCAGGCGCATTCATGGCGAACGCCTAAAGTCGGAATCACCGCGAAGATGCCCTTAGGACTTAAGCCTGAGAGTGTGGGGCTAAGGGCGTTAAGGCTTGGTTCTGAGGCTTTTGCAATGCCGGCGTACTGTCGACTACCCGAGCAATGCTGGAGTGTAGTCTCTCATAGTCTCTCACTACCTTGCAAGCCACAGTCCTCGTCGTGCTAATCACTAAAACTGGATTGAGCCAGAAGCAACAGAGCCGCAACATAGGGCCTTGTGACATGAACGTGAAGTCATCACTGCAGAGACCATCGCTGTCACAGGCTTCGGAGCTCAAAGCACGGCACTTCAACGTCTTCAAAACCCAAGCGAGAGCACACGAGCCGCCACTGCCCACACCCCTAAGAAACACACCCAAGCCCCAACAAAAACCCCGTCACATCTTCAGCCAGTCTTCTCTTGTTGCACCATCTTCGGATGAATGGATCATCCACCAGGCCCATGTTCTTCCTGGACGTGACCTTCTTGTGCGCAGAATCCGCAGGAGGCCGAGCTGGGAATGCCGTACTGTCCCAAAACTTGCACGTGAAAATGTGCACTGGGATGAGTCGTCTGTCTGGAGAGGTACGCTGGTGTAGACGAATGTTGGATCGGTCAATAAAGACCACAGCCTTGCAAATCGTCGATTGCAATCCCCACTGAAGTCACTGAAGCCAAATTCGAGCCGTCGAAAGGATCCGCAGGTGGTTCGAACAGAAGATATCTGCGACATCCCAGCCATAGGACTTAGCGATGACAAGTGATTCAATCTATGCCCGGGAAGCAGGATTGGCATACAGCCGCGCGGCTTCAGACCACTCTGCGGAGGATGCGCGTCGACTAGAGCAAAATCCAACCAGGATGGCCTCGATGGCGGACTTGGGACTCCGCTTCAATCCGCTGTCCAGGGGCTGCAGGAACCTAGCCATGGATCCATGGTGATTCGAGCACGGCCAGGCATCGCGCAAGACAGAGACAGTGGGCCAAGGCTCGAAACTGCGTCAGCACGTTTCTGCCCAAACGTTGACATGCCGCTGCCGCTGTAAAGTTGCCCAGCATGCAGCTACTGGTAGATATCGTCCGGGTAGTCCTCTGCTGGCTCGCCTGAACGGCTGATGTGCGGGGGGAGGGGGTTCTCTGATTTACGATGCTGTTCCTGAACGGCTGATGTGTGGGGGGACTCTCCGATTTACGATGCTGTTTGGGTTTCTTTTGCGAGAGCGCCGTACTCGTCGTTTACAGAACTATCACCTCGAGTGGGAAGGATTGATCACACACCCCATTTTCAGTTCCCGCCTTCAGGATCAGCACTGTCTCCCGCCGGCTTCACTTGCTCTGCCGGTTCCATCGCAGGTGGCTCCACCTGTCCCAGAGCTGAGGCAGAAGACGGAACTGCGCCGATTGGCGGCGCAGTCGCTCCTGATGCAGGTGCTTCAAGTGCTTCAGGCGAAGCTTCCTGTATTGGTGGTGGCCGTGGTGGTGGTACCGGCACTGGCGGGGGTGGTGCCGGAAGCGGCGGCATTGCCTGCTGTGGAGACCTGAGTTAGCAGAAGGCAAGAAGATAAGCGGACCACCACCACCACCACCACCACCACCACGAGAACCATGACGACGACTACGACTATGGCCAGGACGACGACGACCAAAACTGTACCTATCACTGCTACCACTGCCAATACCACTACCGCTACCGCTACCACACCACTACGATCACGAGTACGACGACGACCACAACTGTTGCTGAACAGTCCTTCTCCTGCTGTTGCTGCCGGCCCTCTTCTTGCCAGAAGGCTACCACTGCTCTGACTGGTACTACTACGAGACTAGGAACATGAACCAATAACGCTCCAGCTGAAAAGTGCGAATTGTGGGAATCGTAGTGTATCGTAGTGTTGCACCTGGCGGCCTGATCCGCAAGAACATGCAGATGGCTAACAGAGATTGAGAAGAAGACCTTCCAGTGACTTCCACAGACTCTCAACAGTGAAGGAGATGGTAATCACAAGGATCATAGTTTGCTTTATCGTATGCAGCCCATGGTTTAGGGTTTGGGACGAGAGACCCGCAAAACGTAGACTCTAAACCCTCCACAACAAGGCCCAATAGCTCCAGCGCCGAAACCCGAAAGGCCATGCCATGGAAGCCTCCTAAACGCTGAACCCTAGACCCCCAACCCAAGACCAAACCCACTCAACCCCTGAGCCACCAAACCCTAGAGCTATTCTTGGCTGCGCACGGAGGGTCTGGTACCGCAGGCCTGCAATGAATGTTGCGACACCCCAGGCTTTCCATCGGCTCTAAAAGCATATCAGACTCAAGATTCGGATTTCCTACAGTTTCCGGTAGGGTTGCAGTAGGGTTTAAGTTTTAAGATCTGGGGATGCTAAACCCTAAACCCCAAACC